AGAGGCCAATTTTAAAGTTTTATTATTTTGTATTTTCCCCCCTAATGTCACTATTGTGTCGTATATCTGAGTGAAACACTTTCAGAACAAGAACAAATGTGGGCGGGGCTTGATTTTGTCTGTGGGGAATTGATTGGATGGTTGTGGTTTGCTATTGGCTGATCTCATGTGATTGACAGGTTGTAGCCCCGCCCTCGTCATTAGAAAAGAGAAGTCGCTGCAAGAGAGGGGAAGTTGTTCAGAATCATTATAGTGCTAACCATTCAAATCTAATGGTTATGAACAAAAGATGATAATATCTTCAGATATTAAAATAAAATTGTATTTCAAAAATAAACACATAGGAATGTATCGAATAATAGGAGTTAAAATAAAGTATCAGCATGGGAAGTCTGTGCTGTTTTTCTGTTCCTCGTCAGATTGTATGAAACGACAGCAGTGAGATCTCGTGTAAAGCAAAGACACACTGTGAGAAATCAACTTTCTTTTATGTCAGACACCATATGCATCTTTGGATTTTATTCACAATTTACATTGATAACAACATCAGTCTTGTCACATCTGGACGTTGCACTGATGTGAAAAGATGATGAGAATCAGTCGACAAACAATATTTTTGGACTAAAATCACACCGTGCAGCGAACTATATATATATCTCGTTTGCTCAAACATACGATGAAGACGTCATCGGCTCTTGGGGAGCTGAAGTTCACGTCCCTCAAAAGCTCAAAATAGAGCTTCATTATGAGGCTGATGACAGGTGACAGACGTAATAAGGCACCGTTTCCGTCCCATGATGCCCTGCTTCATCACAGATTTCTCCAGATACAGTTTGTTCTTTAATGCTACATGAGCTTCTAATGATCCCGTAACACTAAACATCCTCGGCTCTGATGGGAGACTGGAGCTGTCGGCCCGTTCCTGCCGTGCGTCTTCAAATGAATACATGATGAAAGCAGAAACTACACAAACACAAACACACGCGGACAGACGGCGAACATGTGCGGCAGGAGGAATCAAAGCTGCAGATTTACAGTCTTTTAAGTCAAATGTTTACATGCGTGTTTTTGTGTTTGTCTGCGTGAGCTTGAATGAGCATCAAGGCGTGCGGCTTTTCAGCGTTTGTGCGTAATCCCACAAATCTCCATCTTCATTAGACGCGAGGCCTTTGATTTCCGTTTTATACTCTGGCAATCTATTTCTTAATCCGCTGATTGTTTGTGTGTGTGTGTGTGTGTGTGTGTGTGAGTCCTCAAGCTTTTAGACTTCAGAGATTATTCCCTTTTCATGCCAAGTGACGTGTGTTACAGAGCTTCACGCTGAGGTATTAAAGGAATAGTTTGATAAGACATGAAATTCAGTCATTAATTCACAGTTATTAGATATTAATCTGAATTTTCACGCTGTTCTGTTACATACAGTACGTACGGATGAAGTCATGTAATAACTTGTGAGGAACAGACCTCAAATTTAATTTTTACTTGCTGATTATCTTTAACGCAGCTCGCAGACCTTGTGAAAAAGAAGGTTAAATTTTAAAGAATATACTTAAGTGCGAATTTAGTTTAATGTTTGCAGGGACATAACTGCATATAATTGCAATTATTTTAAAATGTAGCCGTTTGCATTCATACAAAATGCAATTATCGAAATTGTAAAGTGCTTTTTGACCCACAGTTGTACATCTTTAGTAATTTCGTAAACACTTCTATCTTTGACATTTGATTAAAGTGTACTAACAAGCATTTATGGTAAACTGAAATATACTTTAATGTAATTTCGATTGAAACTTTTATGTCATGTATTTAAATATATATTTTAATTACACATTTGTAATGATAAAGTAGCAGTTTTTGTACATTTTAAATGTAAAAGTGAATAACACACTACAGTTAAAATTATACTCAAGTACTTTACATGTGCATTAGTGTGTTAGTCAACACATCAAAACAAGTGCACTTCATCAAAACATGACATAAAATGTGCTTTTAAGTAAAACTTTTAACATTGTTACAAAGTGTATTTAAAACATGTTCTTAAGTGTGTTTAGAAACATTGTACACTAAAAAATGCTGGGTTGTTTTAACCGAAGTTTGGGTCAAATATGGACAAACCCAGCTGTTGGGTTACATTTTTACATTACATTTTTAACCCAACATTTGGGTATGTCCGTTAAAACAACCCAGCATTTTTTTAGAGAAAGTAGATCTTTTATTTTATAAATATTAGTAATATTACATTATCGGCAAACACAGTTATGTTATAAACTTTGAAGTACACTACAAGTGCTTAAAAGTGCACAAAATAAACAGTGTTTTCTATTGCGGCTCCGCATATTCATATCTGTTCAAGAAGCTCGTTTAAATATGTGCAAATTTCAGAACTAGTCTTTGGTGTTCATGTGGCACTGGGTTGACATGAGGATAATTAAATGACATGTTTTCTTTTTTTAGTTCCGCTATTATAAAAAGAGAGTGATTTCTCCTTGTCGATTCTCCGGTGTTTTCCTAACGGGGACAGACGCAGGGCTCGGTGTGTGCAGGTGTGTGTGATGTGCTGTGACGTGTTGCTTGTGTTCTCCTGCCCACAGACACTAAAGCTCAGTTTTACTGCCGTGTCATTGCAATTAAAGTGACCCTAGAGCACGCAGATATATCTGCACAACAAAACACTTCATTCAGGTCGAAGAACTACTGTAAATCAGACTCTGGAGGCTGCAGTACGGTGGAGAAAGGAAAGAGAGAAAACATCAAAACAACAAGATCCGAGTGCATATTTCGGTTACATTAGAATCCAGAAACAAAAAGAATTCATCAACTAATACCTTGTAAAACTTTAAAAGATATATAACAAGACAAGAAGAACACAAGGGCTATAAATACACAGGCGAACAAATGAACAAACTACAAAACCCCTGGAAATAATTCTGCCTTTACATGCGACTGCGAAGCTCATACATCTCTGAGTCAAGCAAAAACAACACGGAAGTAGTCTATAAATGTGCACGCAAATAACCACATCTAAAATCTAAATTATTATTTTCTTTGAGCAGTTAGGCATGAGAGCTCTCCCTACTAGCTCTTTAAAGCCCCCATGAAATTAGTTACGCTAGTCTTTTCTCCTCTATTGTGTTGTATATCGAGTGAAACGCTTCTGGAACAAGAACAAATGTGGGCGGGGCTTGATTTTGTCTGTGGGGAATTGATTGGATGGTTGTGGTTTGCTATTGGCTGATCTCATGTGAGTGACAGGTTATAGCCCCGCCCTCGTCATCAGAGAAGAGATGCTGCAAGAGGAAGTTATTCTGATTCAAGATTACCAGGAACAGGAATTGAACATAATACAGATCAAATCATTTATAATAGGTTAGAATCATCTTTGAATGCTTTGTTATAGTGTTTGTCAAGTGACTTGTACCATTGCTTATACTTCAAAAAGTCAAAACTTTATCACACACTGTAAATCGTCCCAGGTTGTGTGTGTTACAGACGAGAACGACTCCTCAAACATGGAGCTTATCGGGAGGTGTGCTATTACTTTTCTAAGCAATAGGTCTTATGATTTTCGCCCAGGGCCATAGCAGGAACATATCGATTTAGTTTTCCGGGAGGCGAGGTGGGGCGCACACTTTATGATCTGACACATCAGGGCTGGCAACCATGTACAAGCAATAACCACACCAACATATGTTTTTCTAAATTATACAGAAAAAAAAAGTATAGAGGTGAGATGTAAAGCTTTGACTTCTTATTGCAGATTTCCAGACCCTTTCTTTGCCATTTCATTACTGTTTTTCTAAGTCAAGAACACTATGAAGTTAAACAATTGGCAGTTTATGCCAATTATGAAGATCAAAACATGCAACACAAATGAAAACTCTTATATTTCAGCTTCTTGTTTACTTTGGAAATTCAACTACCAATTTTCAAATCATACATCTATGCTGCATTGTTGCTCTTCTAACTCAAAAATACTCAAACACACACACACACATGCATACATGCACACATACACGTGCACACATACATACATACACAAAGACATGCATACACACACACGCACACATGCATACATGCATACATACACAAACACACACACACGGGCACACACACACACGCGCACACACACACACGCGCACACACACACACACACACACACACACGCATACATGCATACACAAATACATGCATACACAAATACATGCATACACAAATACATGCATACACACACAAGCACACATGCATACATGCATACACGCATACACACACACACACATGCATACATGCACACATACACGTGCACACATACATACATACACAAAGACATGCATACACACACACGCACACATGCATACATGCATACATACACAAACACACACACACGGGCACACACACACACGCGCACACACACACACGCGCACACACACACACGCGCACACACACACACACACACACACACACACACACACACACACGCATACATGCATACACAAATACATGCATACACAAATACATGCATACACACACAAGCACACCTGCATACATGCATACACGCATACACACACACACACATGCATACATGCATATATGCATACACGCATACACACACACACGCACACACGCACAAACGCACAAACGCACACACGCACACACACACACACATGCATAGGCTACATACAAACAAACATACATACATTCATTCATACATAAAATCATGAGAAGCATTAGTGTGTCCATACTTTCGACCAGTAGAGTACATTCCATGTAAAAATGACTTCATATCAGATTGTGTATTGATATGTTTTGAAGCGGGCACATATGCATAGTTTCGCCATCATACTGTGGTCAGCGTCATAACTGACCAACACAAGCTGTAACGTATGGTCAGATCTGATGGATATCGAGTGCCTTGTACGAGACTGGTAAATAAAGTACAAATCCCCTAAAATGTTTCTTAGAGACGGAGTGTGTTCTCATGTGATCTGTGTGTGTGTGTTCAGGTGACGGAGACTCGGACGGGTCCACTCGGCTGCAGCACGTATGATAACCTGGACTCGGTCAGTTCGGTTCTTCTTCAGAGTCCCGAGAGCAAACTTCATCTGCAAGGTGTGTGACTTAGTGCTTTATTATGAGACTTAGTGCTTTATTATGTGACTTAGTGCTTTATTATGTGACTTAGTGCTTTATCACGTGACTTAGTGCTTTATTATGTGACTTTGTGCTTTATCATGTGACTTAGTGCTTTATCATGTGACTTAGTGCTGTATTATGTGACTTAGTGCTTTATTATGTGACTTAGTGCTTTGTTATGTGACTTAGTGCTTTATTATGTGACTTAGTGCTTTATCATGTGACTTAGTGCTTTATCATGTGACTTAGTGCTTTGTTATGTGACTTAGGGCTTTGTTATGTGACTTAGTGCTTTATTATGTGACTAAGTGCTTTATCATGTGACTAAGTGCTTTATTATATGACTTAGTGCTTTATCACGTGACTTAGTGCTTTATTATGTGACTTTGTGCTTTATCATGTGACTTAGTGCTTTATCATGTGACTTAGTGCTGTATTATGTGACTTAGTGCTTTATTATGTGACTTAGTGCTTTGTTATGTGACTTAGTGCTTTATTATGTGACTTAGTGCTTTATCATGTGACTTAGTGCTTTATCATGTGACTTAGTGCTTTGTTATGTGACTTAGGGCTTTGTTATGTGACTTAGTGCTGTATTATGTGACTAAGTGCTTTATCATGTGACTTAGTGCTTTATCATGTGACTTAGTGCTTTATCATGTGACTTAGTGCTTTATTATGAGACTTAGTGCTTTATTAGGAGACTTGGTGCTTTATCATGTGACTTAGTTCTATTTTGTGTGACTTAGTGCTTTATTATGGGACTTAGTTCTATATTATGTGACTTAGTGCTTTATCATGTGACTTAGTTCTATATTACGTGACTTAGTGCTTTATTTTGTGACTTAGTGCTTTATCATGTGACTTAATGCTTTATTTTGAGACTTAGTGCTTTATCATGTGACTTAGTGCTTTATTATGTGACTTTGTGCTTTATCATGTGACTTAGTGCTTTATCATGTGACTTAATGCTTTATTTTGAGACTTAGTGCTTTATCATGTGACTTAGTGCTTTATTATGTGACTTTGTGCTTTATCATGTGACTTAGTGCTTTATCATGTGACTTAGTGCTGTATTATGTGACTTAGTGCTTTATTATGTGACTTAGTGCTTTGTTATGTGACTTAGTGCTTTATTATGTGACTTAGTGCTTTATCATGTGACTTAGTGCTTTATCATGTGACTTAGTGCTTTGTTATGTGACTTAGGGCTTTGTTATGTGACTTAGTGCTGTATTATGTGACTAAGTGCTTTATCATGTGACTTAGTGCTTTATCATGTGACTTAGTGCTTTATCATGTGACTTAGTGCTTTATTATGAGACTTAGTGCTTTATTAGGAGACTTGGTGCTTTATCATGTGACTTAGTTCTATTTTGTGTGACTTAGTGCTTTATTATGGGACTTAGTTCTATATTATGTGACTTAGTGCTTTATCATGTGACTTAGTTCTATATTACGTGACTTAGTGCTTTATTTTGTGACTTAGTGCTTTATCATGTGACTTAATGCTTTATTTTGAGACTTAGTGCTTTATCATGTGACTTAGTGCTTTATTATGTGACTTAGTGCTTTATTCCACTACGGTTTGTCTGACTTTTGATCCTCAAAAGCTCAAGCAAGCCAGAAACACCAAATATGTATTGAATACCTGCAATAATGCTGCACAAAGAAGGACACGGAGAATAAAACTGAATGTAATGAACTTGAACATAATGATTGAGGATGAAATAAGCTCAGATATCTTGCAATAAGTGTGAACAGTGATCACAGATGTTCAGGCCGACCGAACACTTACTGAATCTGTCATCAGTCCAGCTGCGTGTCAAATTAAAAGGAGACAAAAAAAAAAACTGCTGAAATGTTTTCGTTTATAGCATTTACATGCGAAAAAGGTCATTATGTCTTTATAATTCTAGTCTATCAGAACACACTTTTGTTGGATTTCAGTCTGTGCACATCTGCTGTATTGGCACATGTTTGAGAGAAGAAATACACAGTTGCACAGCAGCGACGAGACGCTCCTGCAGAGAAAACACATGCGTATGAGTCTGATAATACAGGTTACAGCAGGATCTGCTCGCCAGCGATGAGAATAGCACGACATGTAACCAATAACTGACACATTTATATATATTTGGCAGTTATGGTATAAATTTCTTGCAATTCCCATCCCTGGTGAGCAGATCTTGCTGTAACCTGTAATTTTTATATATATATGGCGAGCAGATCTTGCAGTAACTAATCTGTAGTATATATATATATATATATATATATATATATATTAGGGCTGTCAAATGATTAATCACGATTAATCACATCCAAAATAAAAGTTTTTTTTTACATAATATATGTGGGTGCACTGTGTATAATTATTTTATATATATATATATATATATATATATATATATATATATATATATAAATACACACACATGCATGTATATTTAAGAAAGAAATATTATTTATATATAAAATATTTATATTTATATATAATATAAATTATATATAAATCTATATACAGTATATACATGAAAATATTTCTTAAATATATACAAGCATGTGTGTGTATTTATATATATAAAATAATTATACACAGTGCAACCACATATATTATGTAAAAAAACTTTTATTTTGGATGTGATTAATCACGATTAATCATTTGACAGCCCTAATATATATATATATATATATATATATATATATATATAGAGAGAGAGAGAGAGAGAGTAATAATTTGTCGTAATTTTGACTGTTTATCTCATAATTTGGGGGTTTTGTGTCATAGTTGACAATAATTATTCAATTTTATCATGATTTTTCCATGTCATAATTATGACTTTCTTGTAATTTAGATTTGTCAATTTAGACTTTTTGTCAAAATAATGACGTTTTATCTCATAATTCTGAATTTTATGTCATGAATTGTCATAATTATTACATTTTTATTTTTTTCATGTCATAATTATGATATAGTGAATGTTTATGTGATAATTACATTTTGTCATGATATTTATTAAAATGATGACTTTTTGTTTTTATCTCATTGTCCAAAAGTTGTCATAGTTTAGAATTTTTATGTCATAGTAATTACATTTTTATAATGATTTTTTGTCACAAATTTGACATCTGATTTTTCTCTCGTGTCAGTTTTGTGTTAATAATAATTGTAGGGTTAAAGTAAATGTAAGTGACATTGACAGAACATGTCTTTTACGTTTTTTTGACTTTTTTTTTTTCATTTCATTTCATTTTTTTTTTTTTTGTGATTTAGACAGATTATTAGTCTATGGGTTAGGGTTAGGGTCTAGTCTGTGATGCATTTGTAACTCTTTTATTAAATCCTACCAGCTCAAGAGTCATTTGTTCAAGCATTGCACTACAGTGGTCATGCTCTAGTGTTGTGTATTTATCTGTTTGAATTATTTCATTTAATTCAGACCGCAGTCTCACTCCAGCACATGAAACATCGGACGCTGGAAACTCTGTCTCAGTGTTTTATGCATCGGTGGATGAAAACACTTGTGAAAACGCTCCTCCATTGCTAGTGCTCACAGTTAAACGGATCCGCTTTGGACGTGTCAGGTTTAATGTGAAGTTTGACACAAGTGTCTTACTCGTGTTTAATCGCACGTGTCGTGATTCATGCTCTCACTCTGTCTAGTTAGCCGAAGCACTCTGCTCTTTTATTTATGCGTCTTGCCTTTTGGTTAACTCACATTTTTTTTGTCATAATCTGAAATATGCTTGTTAGAAGCATCCCTAACACACATGGATTTGATGATGGAAAAATAATCTCTCAACATCTGCTGTAACACAGCTCATAAGGTCACCCGTTTACGCCACATCAAAACAACTAAAATAATGCTTTGGTAAATCATGATTATGGCACAGAAAGTCACAATTATGAGATACTAGATAAGGAAGAATGATGACATATAAATTCAGAAATATGAGATACAAAAAAATAAATAAATGATGCCATAATTGACTTTATCTCATAATTTTGATTTACTGTGTCAATTTTGACTTTTGTATCATAAGTATGACTTTTTATCTCATAATTCTGAGTTTAATGTCCTAGTTTTAAATCGTCATAATATTATTATATTTTTATACTGATTTTCTGTTCGACTTGTCAATTTTGACATTTTGTAATTGTTATGACTTTCTTATCATTTCGATTTTCGTCATAATTATGACTTTTTATTTCAGAATTTTTAGAGTTGTATGCCAGTTTTAAATTTTTATATTGTAATTATTACATTTTGTCCTGTTTTTTTGTTCATGTCATTATTATGCACAATATCATAATTTCAACTTTTTATCTTAAAATTTCAGTTGTCAGAATATGTCATAATTTAGATTGTTTGTGTCAAAATTTATTTATTTTTTATCTCATAATCTGATTTACCAAAGCATGATTTGGTGGTGAAAATGTGCTTCCATATAACCATATTCCATATAACAGAACAGCCACAGTTTAATCCACAGGTAATTCTGAAAATATTGACAGCATCAAGAAACAAACACAAACACAAACTTGTCACATAAAACACAGAAGAAATGAACAGAAATGACTTTATTTCCTTCTATCCATAACACAACAGCTGGACGATGCATCATGGAATAGAAGAACACATTATTTTTTTTTAAATTGTGCTTGTTTTGAAACACTCAACATATTTTTCGCGTCTATTTCACCATACACAACACTTCTGTAGTAACGGGTGTAATGCAGAGGTTTAAATATAACCAGTTCTAGAAGGTCAGAGTGAAACTGCAAGGTGTTTAAGTTTAGTTTTAACTTCAGGATTGTTCCCACCAGAGACTAGAGTCCGAGAGAACAGCTGTAGAAACTGATTATCCGGCGTTTTCTGAGGACAGTCGCAATGTGTTTCGTTCTGTTCATCCTACAACTTTTGCTGTCTCGAAATTGCAACGTCATTGTTGGTTTTCAAGTCTTTCAGCAATAT